CCCCAAAACCCCAAAACCCCAAAACCCCAAAACCCCTATTTGAGGAAAAAGTTGAGGAGAGTTGATAATAATTATTAGTTAAAATCTTATCAAGTAAGGGCTGAATGTTGACCAAGATTAGATGGATCCAACTTACCCAGATACCCATGATCATTTCTATGAGAAGCTGTTCAGCCATATGTCCCAGACCAGAACTCTTACACTCGATATTGGTAAGGCGCCCATATCTTCTTAGTTTCCGTGTGCTCCCTCCTGTTTCAAGAGAGAGCACCTTGAGAGATACAACTTTGGGGGGATTTATTCGAGTTTTATACAAAGGCTTTCTGAAAGAACCTTTGCTGGATACCTTTCTTAAAGTCTTCGATTACTCTGTCATTCCTAATTTTCTCTCCTGGGCTATTCACCCAGATATTGAATATTTCAGATAAAAGGTATTTAGTAGTTTTCCAAAGTGAGTTCTTCGCGTTCGTCATTTATCAACAAAGTTTTCTGAAGCTGAAGTTTCATTCTGTTTGTGAGCATAATTTTTAGGTATCTTTTATCCCTCAGATGTATCGAAGTATTCTTTTCGGTTACTTTGCCTCAAAAGGTTCCTGTGATAGTATCTACTGTAAATAGATGAGAGATGAATAGTACAACAGTTGGGCTCTACAAGAATTCTGCTTTTTAAAGTTTCACTTGCTGCTGAAATTGTCCTACAATTTTTTAATTTGAACCTATCGAAACTTCCTTCTTTGAATTAGTATTTGCAGATATTCTGGGTTGATTAAAACCCTCAGAGAAAAGACAGTTAGACCGAGATAGCCCTTAAGGTGACTTATCAGTGGTATTCCTCTCAGCCATCCTGTGTAAGGACAAATCACTCTTTAAGGCTGCCATACTCACAAAGCTTCTAATTCTTTTTGAATTATAAAGGTGACGTAGGTATTTTACTCACTCTTTCTATTATTGAAGAGAAGAAATTTGCTCTAAGATCAAGCTTTATTTACATCTTTTGCTGATGAAGTTAGTAGTTTCTACCACCTCTCTTGCTTTTATTGCCAACTTATGAGCTTAAAGATGCAGAGTTGCTTTATCTAGATTGATTTTAGAGATGGTCAGTTTTAGTCCATCTGAAGTTCATCAAACTGCCCGATATTTAATATGAAAGTCATCTAAAGTCTCTAAGCTTGAGAAAAAGCTTTGGGTAATTGACTTTGTAGATCTGAATGAGTTATTTTGTACCTATACTTAGTCAGAGGCGTTAGCAAAGAGTATGCAAAAAGCTCTAGATATAGTAATGTTTTGCAATGCTCATAATTTCATTAAATCTGCAAACCTTCGGAAATCTGATAAAATACCAACAAGTGGGATAGGATGGATATCGAATGTTAAGACCATGTGCCTTCTCATTGGTAACACCTTTTGCTTTCCTTGGTCCACCTCTTAATTGAAGGAGTGCTAAAACATCTTGGCTTTGGCTTAACTTTAGTCTACCACAATTATTGAATCTGAACTACTCTATCTCAAATTTCCTTGATCGGACCTTCTTAATTACTTTAAGAAATGAAGGAAAATATTGGAAGACCCCTTTTTTGATATTTCCCCATAAACTCAGGAACAAATACCTAAAGTTGTGTTATAGCACTATAGTATTTTATTAAAAGTCCCCGTTGCCTTCTGCATGATTGGAAAGTACTTTATATAAATATGTTTCGTGAGGTTTCAACAAGAGAACTTTTTGACACACAAGCGCCTACTTTTAGGTAGAAAGCTTGGTGAATTCGTAATTTGCCTCTCTCTGTAGAGGGGAGAAGTGGCTTTTAGCCACGACACCTTCTCAGGATCAATACGAGCTTTTTAAAAACTAGTGTTCGCCATTTTTACTTGTTGGAAACTCTGAGAGGGTATTACTAGAGCTCTCTCTGAAGTTAGATATCTGAACCATGCTTGCTTCAAAGCTAAGGGTCTTAGGTGACAAAATATTTGGCTGACAAACTTTTAAACCTGCTCAAAGATCTTGGCTCATAGGTGAGATTCGGATATTTCAGTTTTTGGATAAAATTTATTAGATGAGAATAGCTAATTATTGGATTATAAAATTCTTTTTAATTTTATTGCTATAAATTTTGCTTCACCCAGAAGTTTCTGAGAGATTTTTAGAACATCCTGGAGGATATCAAATATTATTGTTTGCAAACGCCTGATGAACGTAGAGTGATCGTTTTAAATTCTAAAATTTTGTGTACTTCCTACTGTATCTCCCTGTTTCCATTACCAACAACATCAAGTTTTTCCTTTACGATGAAATAGCTAATAATTTTGGTATAGATTTCTTGGATATGAATGCTAATCCAGCACTTAAATATTCGATTTCAAAATTAAGGTCTCCTATCATTCTTCCTGTACCTCTAAATGCGCTCTCCAATGCAGTCAGAAGAGAAAGCACCCAAAGGGAGAGGTCTGAAGGTGGACTAAATGAAGATTTGGACATTAAAACCCCACTTCACCTCAACAATGTTGAAGAGAGTAGGCAATCTTCACCAAAAGAGCCAGAGGAAGAAAAGGTAAGAAAGTTCATATTTTATGATCGATTTGGTCTATACATTAAAATTCTTGGTTAAAAATGTCTGAAATCTTTGAAATTAATCATTAATAATAGCCAAGCGAGGATGGAAAGGCATCTCAAAAGAAAATAGACATGGAAACTCACTCGTTTACTTCTAAGACTGAGTCTAAAACTCCGAGGGAGAAGAGATCTGACAAGAAAAGGAGAAGTAACAAGGTCGTCCTTAGTGACGAGCAGATGATGGAAGAGAAGGAGAAACTGAAGAAACAGTATGATAACCCTCCAGATTCAGACGCCTTTGAGATCATCTATGAGAAAGCCAAGCGTAAAAATAAGTAAGGCATTCAAAACTAAGTTTTTAGGGTCAAGAGATCTTTTAAGTGAACTTACAATCGATGCAATAGGAAGTTTGCCAAGACTTGGAATCTCTTTGATCATTTGAGAACCCATACTGGTGAAAGACCCTTCGTTTGTAAAATCTGTAGCAAGGCTTTTGCCCAGAACGGGAATCTTACCAAGCACATGAAGGTTCACGAGTCTTAGGTTCAGAATGATAATGGAGCATATCATGACCCAAATTCTAATTTAATTGGATAAAAATTACCTAAAAATTACATCTTTCTTGGACCTTCATTTGGGAAGCTAAAGACTTTGGCTAGAAATAGGTCTGTGATCTCAGCTTGGGTGCTGATATGAAAAATTGATTGACCTTGAAAGCAAGTCTTTCATTTGGCTCAGCTTTAATAAGATTTCTTTCAAAATATTTATAAGCGTGCTGAATGATTTGAAGTTTCCTCAAAAGGAAGTGGAACCGCCATCAACTAAAGAGCTTCAGAGAGTAGTTTTAGCCAATTACTTCATCTATCAGATGCCAAAATAGTGCCTCTAAATAGCTGCTTCAGGTTCTAATCGAGGAAAAGAAGTATTTCTTCTCTCTTTTTCAAGAACTACAAATGCAGGCATTTTTCTGCTGAAAATACGAAACAGGATTATAATGGTTTATTGCTTCAACTCTTCTTGGCTAAAATCAGTAAGAAGGTGTTCCAATGAGAAATTAGCTTGTGAAGCCATGGTAGCACCTTCCTTCATTGATTTGTTAATAGCATCTTAACACAAAGAAGTATATCTTTTGAAGGATAGTACAAATTCCCCTCAGTTCTCAATCAGCTAATTTTTCGCATTCGAAAAATTAAGGAAGGTTTTATCTGAAATTTTCAAACAGAGACATTTAAAATAGATTTTCCTTTAAATTTTTTGAGTTTTATAATGATTATGCTCATTGAAATGACTCTAAGTAGCATAAGGATGCGCCATATCGCCCAACTTTGAAAAATATATGACTTTCCAAATAAGTCTCATATGAAAGCACTGATTGGAGATTTTCACCCAAGCCTCAATTCCTTTGTAGGATAAATAGAAGACGAATAAAAGGAACTTTTCTTGACATAAAGCCAAGCCGCCAACTAACTGTTATATAAGAACTTATTGAGGAAAGACATCAGCCCTTCATCATGCCAATATTCCCAATTCTTTTGCCAAAGGCCAACTTTTGACAAAGTTGGTCAACAATGATCCCCTGAAATAGAGTTTGATTTTAAGCATCCGATGGACGTTTTTATTGATTGGTCATTAAGATTACCAACTTGATAGTATTCATATTTGGGCCTAAAATATATATGAAAATCTAAACAAGCTAAAACTAAGAGTTTTAGTGTCAAAATAAACAGGGAAAAGGCCTGGATAAGAGTGAGATCTTCAGAGACGAATGAAACTTTTTTCTTTTACTTTAGTCCATCGTATTTTCATCATTTTCCTTACAAAATTCTGTGATCGATGAGACTTTCATATCTTTCTTCTCCATCAATTCCAATGGATTCGCAACAGTTGATCCTTTTTTTAAAAAAGAGGATATGAGACTTTCCCAAAAGATTGAACTTTTTATTTCAAAGTTGTGTATCCTCTCCAAAACCCTCTTTAACTCAGAGTATTTCAGAAATGATCACAAAGGAAAGTTGGCTTTCACTAAAATCCAAAATGCACAAAGCCAGAGACAGAGACATATAACTAGCAACGAAGAGCTTTAGAGGACAGATTTGAAGCCCCAAGAGCATGCTTAATAGCTTCTCACAGCAGAGGCTTAATAATTCTGGGAAGGGGTTTTCCTAGTTTTGGAAATCCTCCAGATATCAACAGTTCATCACAAGCCACCAAGAAAGAGTGGGTCCGGAGCTATAATTTCATCTTGCAGGAAAATCAAATCTCACTCGAACCTCTCTAAAGAGTGTTGAAAGGCTACTACAGGTAGCCCTTACAATTACATTCCTTCATTAACTAGGCTAAAATAAGTCTGCAAAGTTTGGTCTTTACGTATTAAAAACACAATTTCGCTAAGTTTTACATATTGGGCTTAATTCTCGAATCAATTTGAAAATTAATTATTGGGGTTTTGGGGTTTTGGGGTTTTGGGGTTTTGGGGTTTTGGGGTTTTGGGGTTTTGGGG